GCCTTCGTAGCGAGGCCTCGGGAGGCTTCAGCCACCTGGGCCTCGCTACCCCACCCGCCGCCGCCGCCCTGCTCCCCGGCCGCCCGCCTCTTGCCTTCCAAGCGGCGGCGGCGTTCACAGAGCGATCCGTGCGCATGCGCACGGAACGCTCTTGCACTTTCGGGGGGATTTAAACATCCCCCCGAAAGTTTTTTCAAGTTTTAGGATTTTTGTGCACCCCTGGGGACTGCCCCAGGAGTGCACAGACCTCCCCCTGCCCCCCAAGTGCCCCCCAAGTGCGGATATAGCGATCCGCACGGAGGGGGCAACTTGGCTATTAGATATAGTGATTGAAGTACTGAAACTTGTAATCTGTGTAGTCTTCTTATCTCTGTGATAAGTGTTCTTTTCGTGTTCACAGTTCAGTGTTTTGTATGATTAGCGTTCTAAAAATATGGGAGGCTTAACTTTAAATGTCGCACATAATTGAATGAGGGATGAGCTCCGCTAACATCATGTTTAATATCCAGATTGGGGGGGGGGCACTTTGCTTTTTTGACAGTCAACTTTTTTCTTTCCAGACTGATATAAATTCGCCAGGAGAGTCACTTGTTTCATTTTGAATCTGAATTCATGCCCATTTATACCATGTGGTTTCTAAATCCCAGTTCCTCTTCTTTTATCCTGGTCTGACACTTCTGCTAATGTTTATGAGAACACCCTGTACGAAATCTTGATTACTGGTTTGCGGAGCAGAAGGGAACGATAAACTGATGTGTTAAACTGGGGTGTGGTTTTGAAATAGCAGTGGGCGTGCTGAAGTTTAGGATTCTGAATGCTGAGTGATAGTTTTGTGCTGGAGAATGAGCAGAACATTGACAGCATCCCCTTCTTCAAAGAACATGTGCATGTTCCCCCGTTCCCAGTGGCAGTGGATCATAGTGGTATTTTCCCTACTAGCTAAGGTCCCTTAACTGGAGATGTTCTTTCCCGAGAACTATGGCTCCTGCTCCTTGTCCAGTTGTATCAGGAAGTCAGATAGTATTGGCATTCAATCCACATTCCATAAATGGTGACAATGTTGTCCAAGTCTTTGGCCCTTTCCTTCCTGTGTCCATAAATTAAAACATCAGTCATTGTACTGCAGTTCAGAAAGCTTCTTCATAAATTTGCACAAGTAGTTGTAATTGGGGTAGCCGGGTCTTACCTCCGTCCCAGCAGGGGGCTCCAGCCTGGCTCCTTGAGTCTTCTGACTGATGTGCCGAGTGATGACATTACCCGGAAGTGATGTCATCGTGCTGGGCACATCGTGGGAGGGCAGTCTAGCATTTGGGTTAAAACTCTATGGTGACCCATGACATGACCAGCGGACATGATGTCATAGTGCCGGGCACACCAGATACCACCGGACTCTTTGGGGGTGGGGCTCCCCCACTGGCCAGTAGTGGATTGGGGCCCAAAGAGTTTCGGGGGAAACCCTGCCCCCATTGGGGGGCTGGCAACCCTATTGTAAGTACAGAAAACACTATTTCTATCTTTAGTTTTCTCCCCTAACGATAAAGGGGGAATGCCCAGATGGCTTCCATTTTACTTGTGCAACTTCTGGGTGGGATCCAGCCAGCTTTTTCATTCAATGTCACCCAACTCTGCTGCCTACTATAGCCCCTAGATCATGTGGCTTATGTACGCGCAGGTCCCATGATTTATTTATTTTTATTTATTTATATTTAAATTTATACCCCGCCCTACCCCGGAGGCTCAGCACACCCTTGTTCAGTGGTCAGAGAGGACTCTTCATCCCTTTTTCACCAGCAGAAATGTGGGTGGATCCAACCTTCCATTTCCTAAGCAGCCACGACAAATGAAATTTTTACAGCACGTACCCCTTTTGTCACCAATATGAACCCAGAGTTCTCCCCTTTATTTTACTTGATCGTTACTGGATCGAGTAAACATCCTTTCCTGTCATAGACAAGCTGCAGAGTTTGGCATCAGTTGAGAGAAGGTACCTCCCAGGTCAGTACTGATCCATAGTCAATAGGATTATGTTCAAGTGCAAACTGGTCTTTAAGAATCTATACTGGGATTTGGTTCCTTCCTATTATATTTTAGCCATCAGGGTTACTGGAATTTGCCCTCGGTTGAAGCTGATGGCTTAAGACTGGCTGCAAGTTTTCTGTTTGCTTTGGAATATGGATTGATCATTTTAAATTAATTTCCTGGAGATTTAGAAGAAGAAGAAGGATTGGATTTATACCCCACCCTTCACTACCCGAAGGAGTCTCGGAGTGGTTTACAATCTCCTTTCCCTTCCCCTCCCCACAATAGACACCTTGTGAGGTAGGTGGGGCTGAGAGAGCTCTCTCGAGAACTCCCCTTGAGAGAACAGCTCTGAAGGAACTAATGAGTGACCCAAGGTCACACCAGCAGCTGCAAGTGGAGGAGTGGGGAATCAAACTCGGTTCTCCCAGATAAGAGTCTGCAGTCTTAAGCACTACACCAAACTGGCTCTCAGTTTGTAATGTAATTTGTCAGTCAGTCAAAACCTTTATTGGCATAGATTGAAAAAGAAAACAACAACACAGGAACCACAGATTTTAAATATACAAAGACAGTCATCCCGCCGGAGCTTTAACCTTATATTCTCGAACCCTCATAGCAATAGAGAGAAACCTCGCCACTGCAAAGGTGATGTGAGGGCGGCGATCTGATAGAAGGGTAGGATACTAGTCTCTCTTCTGGACAGCTGTGCCTATTGATCAAAAGGGGGCTGATTAGGACATCCTGTATTTTATCGTAGAACTCACAGCTAAGCCAGATGTGGGTAATCGATTCTGTTTTCCTGCTACTACATAAACAGGTCCTTTCGGGGTAGGGGGCATTTGCAAATCTATCATAAAGGACTGCAGATGGTAAACGTGCAAGCATAAAAGCTCGTCTTAATGGTGGGGCTGTAAGCTATAAAGAATAGCTGTAAGCCCATTTCTCGGTGTGATATTAAACTTCAGAGGGGAAGGAAGTAATACCAGAAAAGAGAGTTTGTTTTTCAATGTCAAGGATCCTCTGCCTCAATTTGTCACTGGGTGCCATCGTTGCTACAGTCCAGATGCGCAAGGGAAGACCGTATCTATATAAATCAAATGACAGGTTTTATTTTCACAGCAATTTAGCAACACTGCCACGAATCATGTCCATACTCCCCTATCCCAAACTCATGGTCCTCTTATTAATTCAACCTTTCAGGGATGTGGCATCCGAATCTGACAACAACATCAGACAGATAAATCAAGAAGCGGCCCACCGAAGGTTTCGATCCAGGAGACACATCAGCGAGGATTTGGATCCAGAACCCGTGGAGAGTGTAGAGGCACCAGAAGTACGTCCCAAAATTAAAGTTTCTTGGAAGATGTGCTCTGAAGGCGAAGTTCGAAAGATACAGTGGTTTTCAAAAAAAGGCAGTGAGCTGTTCCCCACTGTAAAGACAATGGCCCTCAGTAATTAATAGTGATAATTGGTTGGTAGAAAGCTTAAATAAGGCTTAATGTCATGAAGGTTGACTGGCCGTCTGTTTACTTACTTAGGGTACAATCTCTTGTGCATGCTTGTCCAGCCTTACTGAACTCAGTAGGACTTACTTCTGAGTAAACCTGCATACCCTTGATTTTTTTGTATAACCCATCCCGTTCACAATATTTTTAAAGCTTGCTTTCTGTCCTCACCTGTCTAACTCCAGCTCTGCTGTAAAAGGATATTTATATGGGATTGGTTGCTTGAGTGTGCTCAGTTAAATGCTCACATAAAGGCACTGAAAGCAGCATAGTATAGGAAGACCACATCCATGCTCTTATGCTTAGCGGTATATACATTCAGCAAGAAATGCTTACCTAGAAGCCCTCTTCTTGTATAGATATCCTTGTTTGGATTGTAGCTGATATCATTAAAAAATCATTATAATGCATCGACCATTGGAAAGGAAAGCCATTCACGGCTTTGGGGCTACAACAGTTAAGGCCTAGCTCTTTGTGTACAATTCCTCTTGTACAGCAGACCTTTCTGGGTTCTGGCTTTTTCGTTTTTGACTGTTAGTTTCCTCTGAGATATGATTAAGACAGCTAGGGGTTTGGGCATCTAAAGACTAGTTGGCTGATGACTACCGGCCCATACGGGCAAATTAACTTGAAAAAGGAGGAAGCCTGCCAAATGAGCTCCTGGTATGTTTTAGGGCTGTTACATTGGTTACTGAATGGAAAACAATAGGAAGGAAGGAAGGAAGGAAGGAAGGAAGGAAGGAAGGAAGGAAGGAAGGAAGAACAATAGGAAGGAAGGAAGGAAGGAAGGAAGGAAGGAAGGAAGGAAGGAAAGAAGGAAGGAAGGAAGGAAGGAAGGAAGGACAGCTACAATGTGAATAACCACTAAATAACACGTATGAAGGCCTGCTAATGATGGTGGGAAAGTCCATAGCAGCTCCTTGTTCTTGTTGGCCTTAAGACCCTATACTGTGGGTATCTGTTCTGAAATTTCATAATCAGTCTTGTCATAGCGATTATCTCCATTTCCAATGACACCCAATCCCGAAACGGTCACACATTTTCTCTGACTCTTAAATGCTAAGTATCATGCAACTGCTGTCTGCCAGCATGTTTCGCCCCCTCCCTCTATAGAAGTCCACAGGACAATGTGTTGAAAGCAAGGCTGATTATCAAATACGAATTGTGTTGTAAGGGTGTTTATAAAAAAAAAACACATGTTGGTTCCCCCCAGTCCATTCGATAAGCAGTCTCGTTGAGGCTCGACACAGCGTTTGGGTTATCATGGGCAAAAGGGCTTCTGGCAGAGAAGGTTGGTTTTTCGGCATCGTAACCATGGTTGCTTTCCTTCTCGTCAGCCTTGGGAAACGATTTCTGAAGAAGTGAGCACGGCCGGAGATTCCCTGAGCCTGTCCTTGCCACCGCCTCCTGCTTCCCCCATCTCTCGGACCAGTCCTCAGGAGCTGTCAGACGAACTGAGCAGAAGACTTCAGATCACTCCCGATTCAAATGGGGAACAACTCTCTTCCATGATTGTAAGTAATCTCGCTACATGTGGTTAATGAGCTTCTACTCGCCTGGAATTCTTAGGACTGCTCGGAAAGTTCTATGCTCAGAGGTTAAGATACTGAATTTTCACTGAATTGTTGTCTTGGGGCTCAAGTGCAGAATTGAAATATTGTGGATGGATCACTGGAAATGCTGTTCTCTATATAAAGAACATATGTTCTACCTGAACTTCAGAAGACCAATGTTCGAGTCCAGTAGTATCTTACAGACCAACACAATTTCCAGTGTTTTGAGAGCAGAACCTCACTTTGGTGACCTAAGCTTTGACTCTCAAAAGCCTGGGAACCGTGTTAGTCTTTAAAGTGCTACTGGACTCTCGATCTTCTGTTTCAGACCAACATGGCTTCCCACCTGAAAATGAACTTCAGAAGATACTGGAATCATCTGTTGGATGTTTTGATGCACAGAACTTCCAACTTACAGCAACCCTATGAATGAATGACTTCCAAAATGTCTTCTTGTTAACAGCCTTGGTCAGGTCTTGCAAACTGAGGGCCGTGGCTTCCTGGATTGAGTCAATCCATCTCATATTGCATCATCATCTTTTCCTGCTGCCTTCAACTTTTCCTAGCGTTATTGTCTTTTCCAGTGACTCTTGTCTTCTCATAAGAGAGCATGGGCTTCTTTATATATGGTAGGGTTGAAGCTTCAGACATGCATTGCACAACATGGAGTGTATCCTGACCTGAACCTTCCAGTCCCCTGAGCAAAGCTGGAAACCCTTCCTCCAGCCTAAGGAGCCTTCCGCCGATTTAAGTGGCTCCTCTGTTGGAGAAAGAACAAGTGTTGGAAGGCAGGCTCCTTAGGCCAGGGGGAGGTTTCCGACTTTGTTGAATGGCGTGGTAGGATGGGGTAGGGTCCACTTCAGCATGTATCTGTACATATGTATGTGCATACGCCCCCCTCATATTTTCACTGAAAATGGGCTATTAAGATTGCGATCTTATGTGCAGAAACACGTGTGCAAGCCCATGGAACGCAATGGCAATTTAGTCTGAGTTAATATGCTTAGGTCCTGACCTGAATAGCCCAGGAAAGCCTGATCCCGTCAGATCTTGGAAGCTAAGCAGGGTCAGACCTGGCCAGGATTTGGATGGGAGACCTATATATTTGCCCAGGATTGGGCCATTTAACTCCAAAGCACACCCCACTGCTGGACCTCCTGCTGGCACCTGGTATTTTTGGCCACTGTGTGACAGAGTGTTGGACTGGATGGGCCATTGGCCTGATCCAACATTGGCGTCTCTTGTGTTCTCTCTTATGTTCTTATGTTCTTACCCGACAGGAAGGAAGTCTAGCTGCATCCGTTAGGACTTACCTCTGAGTCAACATTATCAAAATTGTCCTGCATATACAGTATATCTATCTTTTGTAAATCTCAGTTGCCTGGGAGAAAAAACTCATTCTGTTTGAGGTATAATGTGCTGTAGGCTTTCCTCATATAACACCACAGTGTTTTTCCCCCAAAGTGCGTCATTGAGATAAATGTGTAAAACTGTACATGGAAAGTGCCCTTTTAATTCCTGGTAGACAGGTATCCAAATGAAAGGGCTCTTTAAACTTCACAGACATTTTAACTGATTAAATTCTCAAATCCTGATTGCAGCCGAGCTCCTTGGGGGTCAACTGCGCAAGGGTGCAACTAGATAATTTGTGATCAGAACGGAGTAATTAGGAGCAATCTGTCAGTGTTTTCTGAACTCAGCACGTGTTTTGTAGGCCATGATGAATGTGGGTAGGCTAATGAAATCAGTGGGGATAACAGTACCACTAGACTCTTTTAATTGGGGGAAAACATCGTAAACATTGACTGGGATACAGGAAGCGAAGCGTTATCGTCAGCTTATCGTCTGCTTGCCTTTTGTTGTTCAGGAGACAGGGAGCCTAAACAAGGCTTTAAAAATGTTGAGCAAACGTGCATGTCGCATCTCACTTAGGGTGAAATGCTTTGATTACTTGAATACCACTAGATCGTACATCCCTGTTTCAGTGACAGTTCCATAAAGGGGGGAGCAGGAGATAGCTCTGTTCATAATAACCTAGGACGGGGGCTCTCAAGCGTTTTGCAGCAGGACTCCTTTCTAAACGTACTGTACTTTTCAGGACCCATTTCTAAGTTTTACTGTACTTTTAAGGACCTGCTTGCAAAGTAACTCTGTGCTGCTGAGAACATAAGAGCTGTGCTGGATTAAACCAAAGGCCCACCTAGTCCAGCATTCTGTTCGCACAGCAGCCGACCACCTGCCTCTAGAAAACCCACAAGCAGGATGACCGTGAGAGTATCCTCCCACCCTTTTCTCCCCAGCAACTGATACAAAGAGAGATACTGTCCCCACCCCCAACAGTATATATAAAAACCAAGAATTTCCCATCAGTCAGCACCAAACCGGTTTTATATTCTATTTTTTCCATGTTTTGTATTCATAAATCTATTGTATTACTGAGCCAAGAGACCGTCTTTCATAGCCACCTGCAAGGGAGTCGCAACTTCCTTTTTGGTCCCAACCCACAGTGGTCTAGATCTAGAAAATGTTTTCATTTACCTGTTTCTGGGATCGTCAAAGAGGACAGTAGTGAAATACTGGTAGATTAATGTAACACATTTCTCGCATTACCATTGTGGCTGTGTGTGTGTGTTAAGTGCCGTCAAATCACTTCTGACCTATGGCAACCCTATGAATCAATGTCCCCTCAAAAGTCCTGTCGTTAACAGCCTTGCTCCAGTCTTGCAAACTGAGGGCCTTTGTGGCTTCCTTTATCGAGTCCATCCATCTCATGTTGGGTCTTCCTCCTCTCCTGCCTCCTTCAACTTTTTCCCTAGCATTGTCTTTTAAGAACATAAGAACATAAGAGAAGCCAATGCTGGACCAGGCCAATGGCCCATCCAGTCCAACACTCTGTCACACGGTGGCCAAAAATACCAGGTGCCATCAGGAGGTCCAGCAGTGGGGCCAGGACACTAGAAGCCCTCCCACTGTTGCCCCCCCCCCAGCACCAAGAAGACAGAGCATCACTTGCCCCAGAGTCCCTATCTATACCTTGTGGCTAATAGCCACCGATGGACCTCTGCTCCATATGCTTATCTAATTCCCTCTTGAAGCCGTCCATTCTTGTAGCCGCCGCCACCTCCAGTGACTCATGTCTTCTTGTAATGTGACCAAAGTGCGATAGCCCTCAGTTTAGTCATGTTAGTTTCTAGGGAGAATTCAGGCTTGATTTGATCTAGAACCCACTTATTTGTCTTTTTTGCAGCCTGTAAAATGCTCCTCCAACACCACATTTCAAATGAATCCGTTTTCTTCCTGTCCGCCTTCTCCGTAGTCCAGTGTGGTGAGGGCCAGTGTGGTGTAATGGTTAAGAGCAGTGGACTCTAATCTGGAGAAGCGGGTTTTATTCCCCACTCCTCCTCCACATGAAGCCTGCTGGGTGACCTTGGGCCAGTCACAGTTCCCTCAAGACACTCTCAGCCCGCCCTGACCTGGATAGGCCAGGCAAGCCCAATCTCATCATATCTGAGCAACGTTGACTCTGGCAAGTATTTGGATGGGAGACCTTATTGAAATACCAGAGGTGGGAGGCAGGGGCAAGCTTTATTCAGCCGCCTCTCTGAATATCCTCCAGACCCCCAGTAGGGGTCAGTCACCAGAGGTCGCCATGACTTCCAGGTGCACGCACAGTCAGTCACCAGTTGCCATTAGGCTTGCCAAGTCCCCCCGGGGGCGGGGAAACCCCCGCCCCAGAGGCCTGTTTCCCGCCGGCGGCGGATCGGGCCCCGGGGAGAACTCCACCCCCACGTGCACGTCACCCGGAAGTGACGCGGGTACGCTGGGCACGCTGGGGGTGGGGCCAGGACCCTCCGAGGGAAAACTCTCTCGCGCTCCAGACGACGGCCGGGAGTCCCCCGCTCCGGTAAGTTTCTGACTTGGCAACCCTAGTTGCCATAACTTCCAGGTGCACACACACACACATGCACACATGCACATATTTTCACACACCCCAAAAAATTAAAAATAAAGAACTCTCTCAGCCCCACCTGCCTCACAAGGTGCCTGTTGTGTGGAGGCGATAGTAAGCCAGTTTGAGACTCCTTAAGGTAGAGAAAGGGGGGGGGTATAAAAATCAACTCTTCTTCTTCAACACCCATACATAGTATTGGGGAATACTCTGACAGTTCCCTCTAAGCTGAGTTAGTGTGAGCTAGCTCACAGTTTTTTTAGCCTCCGGCTCACACATTTCTGCCTTAGCTCAGGAAGGAGGGCTCCAGAACAAACTAATTAATGCAGCAGCCAAATCACCTGCTCACAACTTTAATGCCAGTAGCTCACGAAGTAGAATTTTTTGCTCACAAGACTCCACAGCTTTGGACATGAATTAACTTGATCTCGGTCTCCGGCGACAGACCCTTACACTTCAGAATCTTTTCTAGCTCCTTCATGGCTGCTCTTCCCAGTTTCAGCCTCTTTCTGGTTTCCTGATTGCAGTCTCCCTTTTGGCTGACGATGGAGCCAAGGAGTAGAAAATCTTGAACCATTTCAGTTTCTTCATCATCATCAACCTTAAACTGTGTAATTCCCCAGTAGTCATTACTTTTATCTTCTTGACATTCAGCTGCAATCCTGCTATGGCACTTTCTCCCTTAACCATCAGCAGTCGTTTCGGGCCTTTCTGCCAGTAATGTGGTGTCATCTGCGTATCTCAAATTGTTAATGTTCCTTCTACCAGTTTTCACACCACCTTCATCTAAATAAATCCAATCCAGCTTTCCGTATGATATGTTATGCACGTAGATTGAAGAGATAGGGAGATACGTTATATCCTTTATTGTTGTGGCTACTGTGTGAAAAATTGGAGCATCCTAACAGAGTCATTTGCGTATCCCTCAGAGGCATAAGCAGGGCTGTAGTTAGAGTATCCCATGTTTCCTGTTTCTTATGCAGGTTGTGTATTGTATTCCTCAGATGGATCTAATAACCCCTTCAAAGAGACTTCATCGCTTTTGATTAAAGTTAAGACCTGTCGGAAATAATAATTGCCCCGTTAATCATATTCTGTCGGTTGGAGAGTGAAACCCCTTAAAAGTTAAATATTTAAGGTTTTGCTGAAATGTGGTCCAAGCTGTCCAACTACGCAAGTCTCTGATATGGAGATTTTAAATTAGCTTGCACATACATTGTAAATGACCTTTCCAACATGTCAGAGAACTTCGTAGGGTTGATCCAGAGCCATTACTCCAACCTGTTTGGCTTATAGCCACCCAAACAGGGTTGGGTGTTTGGCTTATAGCCACCCAAACAGGGTTGCCAGCTGTGGTTTGGGAAATTCCTGGAGACTTTGGTGGCGGAGCCTGGGGAGGGCGGGTTTGGGGAGGAAAGGGACCTCAGCGGAGTATAATGCCATAGAGTCCACCTTCCAATGCAGCCATTTTCTCTAAGAGAATTGAACTTCGTCATCTGGAGTTCAATTCTAATAGCAGGAGATCTCCAGGTACCACCTGGCAGTTGGCAAACCTGTTCTCAAAGCACATCTGGAACACATCATCCTGCTTCTCCTGAGCCCATCCCACCTTCTCCCAGTTTGTTCAGGATGTTTAATGTATAAGAATCCTTCAGGCCTTCAAGGACCCCTAAGATGCTCTCAGTCTGAAAACGGGGCAGGCAACCTTTGCTAAAGACAGCTGGTTTAGAGAACTGGGATCTAACAGTCCTGGGCACAAAGCACCTGATCTTGTAGGTTTCAGACAGTGTTTCATTCTGGACACTTCAGGCATGAGACTATAGGAAGAGCCCATATTCCCCAAGGCAGGCCTCCTTTCTCCCCCTTCCCCATCTCAAAATCCCTAAGTTATTTATTTATTTGGATATTTATACTCTCCTTTGTTCCCCAAAACAGCTTACAACGCTGTAATTGTTGTTGTTCTCCCCGCCTCCATTTTATCTTTGTAGCTAGGGGTGTGCAAAAAAAGAAAACATTTTTGGTGGGGTTCGGGGTATCTTGAACCCGAAAATATCGACATTTCCAAATCCCAATAGCGGTATGGGATTCAGATTCGGGAAATAACCAATTTTTTTTACCCTATGAGGACCATTATAGTCAGTGGTCCCCATAGGGTATAATGGAGAATTGATCCAGGGGTATTTGGGGCTCTTGGGGGCTGGGGTTTTTTTGGTTAGAGACATCAAATTTGCCACATAGCTGCTGGTGCTTCTCCTAAAAAAACACCCAAGTTTTAAAAAGATTGGACCGGGGGTCCAATTCTATGGGCCTCCAAAGAAGGTGCCCCCATCCTTTAAATGCCTTCTCCAAGACCCCCTTTAAATGCCTTCTCCAAGCCGTGCCACCACAGCGAGTGGCCGCCACCGCCACACGACTCAGCAAGTGAAATCAGGAGGTATTTTAACAGACCGCAGTTTCTTTAAATGCCTTCTCCAAGCCAAGCCTGAATAAAAGCTGAATAATACCAGCTTTTATTCAGGCTCAGCTATATCAGTAGCCGAAAAGAATCTCTAATTTGTTTTCGGCTTTAAAAAACCAAAAAAATACTGGTAAGGGAGACCTCTTGGGGATTGTTCTATGAACACCTTATGGAGTTCTATGATAGCAACAAGGCTTGCTATAAATATAATAAAATAAATATCTTTGGGTAGCCTAGGAAGTATAGCACCTCAGCCTGAGCTCCTGCTTGTCATCACTTGACAACAAATTTAACAGTAGGTCACTAGAACAATCCTATAAAGAATCAATCTATTATCCACAGAAAAGGGGGCACAGAACGGAAAGAGGATTTTTCCAGCCAGTTTGCCTGGTAGACACTGAGCCACTCCAGTCAAATTCACCTCTCCCCTAAAGGAGAATGTCATGAAACTGTAATTTGAGAGCGGCCTTACTTGTAAATAAGAGCAAGCTTTAAACTCTCCTACTAGAGACAGTCCCTGGGGGAAAATAACCTCCAAACAGGCCCGGAAAGGAAAGAGAAACAAAAGAAACAAATGGATGGAGAAGGAAGAATGGGTTTTCTGTTTGGCACGAGTAACAGGCTGATAATCCAGTGCCAAATGGAGGCTTCACCATGCATGAGGCGGGAGCAGGGATGTCTGTAAGACGTTTCCTCTTTTTGATCACAGGAAAGAGCTGGATTCTGTGAGTTCCTGTGGTTACGCCACTGAGGGCATTGTGATTTATATGATGGCTTTGGAGAGGTGGCAAATAAATGTTCTAAATAAATAATGTGTGTAAGGGAAAAACAACTCGCTTAGATCCAGAGTGGAATGATCACAGATACATAGGGTGGCCAAGTGTATCTTTGCCAGGAGCGGGGGGCTCCCGACCGGCATCTTGTGTGTGTGCGTGTGCGCATGCAAAGCGCGCACCGCGCGCACGTCACCCGGAAGTGACGGGAGGCCGCCAGGCACGCTGGGGGCGGGGCCACAGCCATACAAGGGAAAACGGGATCCCTACAGATACAGATTTTTGCCACCTATCCCTTCTAACTACAGCTCCATGTACCCACTGAAAAGCTGCTCTGGAGGGTAAGCGTACCCTTGGATATGATGTGGGATGCCACTCAAGGGGGTGCAGTGTGAAAGGGGAAATCTGTGAAACCTTTTACTCCTACTGTGCCCTTCCACATACACAATGGCTGTTGTGCTGGATCGAACCCTTCCTCCGTAACTCTTAAATATTAGAAGTGCTTTACATACATTATCTCAGTCATTCTTAAGGGAGCCTTTTGAGGAAAGTAATGATTATCCTCAAAATTGCAGTTGTGGGGGATGGGGGAGTGATTCACTGGGTGCAAACCGTTGACAACGTTTGTTGTTCCCATCGTTAAAATGTTTCTGTATTTCCTCTGCCCCGACCTGGATGGCCCAGGCTAGCCTGATCTTGTCAGATCCAGGAAACAAAGCTAATCAGGGTTGGCTATACTGGTTAGTATTTGGATGGGAGAACACCAAGGAAGTCTGGGGTCCCTTTTCGTTTGCCAGCTCCAGACTGGGAAATACCTAGATATTTGGGGAATGGAGCCTGAGGAGGGCGGTGTTTGGGGAGGCAGGGGACTTCAATGGAGTATTAATGCCATTGAGTCCACCTTCCAAAGGGGCCGTTCAGGGCCTTGATCAGGTCGTCGTAGATGGCTTCCTCCATCTTCTTCGGGACGATGAGGCTCCTTGCTAGCCGTATTGTAGCGACGCCACACGTGCTCAGGAGCCATGATTTCTTCAGATCGACGTCCGTCGTTTTCTGGATTTTAAAGAAATGGGTTAGCTGTTCGACCCAGGATTCCCATAGCTTGGGATGGGCAGGGTCAAACGTGGAGATCTGTCCCGGAGCGGCAGCCATGACTAGAGCACGTGGCGGTGAGCAGAAGAGCGGGCCACGTGGCGGTGCTGCTGGATAGAAGACAGAATATCCAGCGTTAAGCTTGACATGTTTTCAGTGGGTAAATTACACAAAATAGTAAAAAAAAATTAATGGTTCACTGTTTTGTCTTGTTTCCCTCAGCAAAGAGATCCCTCAGCAAGGTTAAGATCTTGCAGCGTAACCGAGGCAGTTGCTGAGCAGTCCCTCTTATCACTGGTAAGTAGAATGCGTTTATTTATTTCTCTTCTCTCATTATTAAAAAAAATAATCTCCTGTTCTGTGTATCGACTGTGACTTTCATTGTTGTGGAGTCAGTGTTGCCTTCCCCTGTCGAAATTATTTCAGTTACAATTCCAGTCATACACTGACTAGAGGCAATGTCGCACCATCAAAGGTAGGCAGAGAGGACAGATCCTAGAGAGAGGTGGTTCTGGGGACAGATTGGAGACATGTGAAACCCCATAAAGTGACAGTTGTGTATGGTGGCCGGATGAAACTCGGCAGTTTTCAGGTATCCTGCGATTTCAGGCTGGGGGTTTCTCCTGTAGAAGGGGTCGTGGGATATATTAGTCCTGTGTATGGTTAAAGAGCTACTTAAGAGATTAATGGGGACACTCGTGTATTATAAGGGATGCATCAAAGAACAGAAGCAGAACTCAAAACAAAAAGTCAGAAATTCCCGAATTAGTTTTCTTCTTTTTTGTTTTACCCCAACCTGTTAAGACTGGTAGTCACATATTTAGTAGTGTGGTCTGTACCAATCAGTGGAGCCATTATCAGAATGATTTCACTGGAAAATATGCCATATGGAGCAGAGGTCCATCAGTGGATATTAGCCACAAGGTATAGGTAGGAACTCTTGGTCTGGGGCAAGTGATGCTCTGTCTTTTTGGTGCTTGGGGGGGGGGGGGCAACAGTGGGGAGAGCTTCTAGTGCCCTGGCCCCACTGCTGGACCTCCTGGTGGCACCTGGTATTTTTGGCCACTGTGTGGCAGAGTGTTGGACTGGATGGGCCATTGGCCTGATCCAACATTAGCTTCTCTTATGTTCTTATGTTCCGTTTCCCAGATAGGTTTTTGATTCCTGGGTGAGGGTGCTTTGTGTTGTTTTGTTTTGTTTTCTGCATACTAACAATATATTGGCACTCTTACTGTTCTGTGGTGTTACCTATTCTAGTCTTGTATTCTGCCATAATCCAAAGAACTATGATAGGGTTCCCCACTATGATAGGGTTCCCCACTGTGAGCTCACGGGGGCAATGGGGCCTGTGGCTGCCAAGCTTTTCAGAAACTGGGAGGAACCATTTCAAGGAAGAGCTTTCTATCAGCTCTCCTCATTTAAATGAAAAGGATTTCTCATGGCTGCAAAACAGGGAAGGGGGGTATTGCATTTGGCTCCACCTCCTACAGCAGCCATTTTAGGGTGGCCTTCGCGACTCTGTCTCAACATTCCAAAGGTACCCACAGCATTAAAAAAAAGCTTGGGGACACCTGAACAATGCAGTTTGCATGCACCCAGGGCTATTTTTGGGCAGGAACGCACAGGAACGGAGTTCCGGCTGGCTCCCAAGTTGGCCACGCCCAGCAGGAACTCATTAGCATAATAGGCCACACCCAACAGCAGACACTCATTAGGGTTGGCTACATTAGAGGTGTGTGGCCTAACATGCAAAGGAGTTCCTGCTACAAAAAAAGCCCTGGGTTTTGACAACAAACAAGGTAAACAGAATAACAAGCAAAAGGTGGGTGTGGCTGGATGACCACACTTCTGGAAACATGGGGGTGCGGCCTAATGCGCTAATGAGCTGTGCTGTCAGGGGTGTGGCCCAATATGCTAATGAGTTTCTGCTGTTGGGTGTGACCTGTTATACTAATAAGTTCCTGCTGGGCTTTTTCTACAAAAAGAGCCCTGCATGCACCTACCAGGAGTTTGTGACTGGGTGCAGTGGCTGCTGTGTTCCCACCCACAAACTGGCAACTGCTTTTGAAATTTCAGAGACTCGTGAAGTGTTGTTTTTTTTTAAAAAAAACAAAAACACACAGATCAGGTCATAACAAGCTAGTAGTTCTCTGGAATATGGCCCCAGTATCAGCTCTTTCCTTTTATAAAACAGGGTTAATTGTGGCACTGTAACATTCTTTTCCTACTATCAGAAAGGGTTGGCTTGCACGAGAACTTAGTAAAATAAGGGATTGCATGATAAAGAATTAGTTCTAAACCTTTTTTTTCTGAATATCAATTACATTGAACTCTGTCAGAATTCAGCAGAACTAAATCAGAAATATTATCTTTGGGACTACTGGATATGACCAACCTGCTATAACAAACTCTGTCATTTCTCTTCTGTTACCAACCATGCTCTTATCTTCTTTTTCCCTGCACATGCTTGCACACACACGCTCTCTCTTTTTCCTGATATGCACCATTAATTAATTCCAGCACAATTAACAGAAAACTATGAAGACTGGCACCTTGCTTTTCGGCCATATTCTTTTCAAGGCTTTTGCACCTGTGAGCAACCAAAAAGAAGCCACTTCACTCTGAATCTCTATGTACTTCAGCATCTTCTTTGTATATCAGTTCTACATATTCTGTTCAAAGGAAAGGAACGGATTTTAATTATTGGTTTGGATCTCGCCTTTATGTGCTTATCCCAGTATGCAAGTTCTGCAGGTGTACACACAGTACACTGGTGTGACATCACAGGCATACAACTCTGTTCTGAAATTGCGTTTACTAAGATGTATTTGGGATCAGGATTCTGGTCCTATCATACTGAATTACTGTAAGAGGTAACATGGCCTTGTTATCAATGATCTATAGCTTCTTTCCTTGGTTGCGAAGTTGACTCAGTGCTTCACCAACATATTAAAAAATGGCTTTTTGTCTCTTGTGCTGAAGACATGCAACTAATCCATGACTTTCATTCCTGATCACCCCATAACTCTAACATTAATTATTGTTCAACAGCCAAGCGGTCCATCTAGGAGAGCTCGTTCTTCAACGGTCACAGGTGGTGAAGAGTCAACGGTAATAACGCTTTTATCGAGCCGAAAAATATCCTTCTCTGTCACTCAGATCTCATGCTTTTTCTCTTCTCTTGTCTTCGTTTCAGAAAGCGAACCTTATCTAGGTTGAAAAATTATTCTGTGCTAGAAACTATTTGCTTGTGGGGATGTACATATGTCATATTTCCCTGCTGTGTCTCTGTTATGGAAAAAAAAAAAGCCTTTTCCCCAGCATTTGCCGCAAATCATGTTTTTGGGGAACACCCGTTCTCTCCTCCCCACCATACCTCCTATACTTATGTGACAAGGCCTTGATACCATGTTGAGGGTAACTGTTTTGGGTACCTATATGATATTATTTTTTGACAACAGTTGGAGCACTCGCCTCTTCTATTTCTGTAGATCGCTTCTAAAATATATAGGATTTATTTAAATTAATTCTTTCAGTTCTTGGGAGCGCCACAACACGTTGTGCAAAAAACAAAAACACAACAACAACTAGTTAAGAACCAGAGATGGACTTTGGGGCAGGACGGCCTACCTGGATTGCCCAAGCTAGCCCGGTCTTGTTAGGTATCTTGGAAGCTAAGCAGGGTTGGCTCTGGTTAGCATTTGAATGGGAGACTACCAAAGAAAAGCAGGGTCACTACACAGAGGCAGGCAATGGCAAACCACCTCTAAACATCTGCCTTAAAAACCCTACAGGGTCATCATACTTCGATGTGACTCGATGGAACTTTCTGCCGCCACAGTCATGTAGGGATCCCAAGTCCCCCCGGGGGGCGGGGAAAACCCCGCCCCAGAGGCCCGTTCCCCACCGCTGCCGGATCGGGCCCAGGGGGGAACTCCACCCCGACGTGCACGTCACCCGGAAGAGACGTGGGCACGCCTTGTATGGCCGTGGCCCCGTCCCCCAGTGGGGAACTCCTCCCTGACGTGCGTGTCACCCAGAAGTGACGCGGGCACGCTGGGGGCGGGGCCACGGCCATACAAGGGAAAACTCTATGATTTCCCCTTGTATGGCCGTGGCCCCGCCCCCAGCGTGCCTGGCGTCCTCCCGTCACTTCCGGGTGACGTGCGTGCGGCGTGCGTGCACAAGACACTGGCCGGGAGCCCCCCGCTCCCGGCGAAGATAGACTTGGCAACCCTACAGTCATGGCCTACCCAGTTATTGTTGTCTTGAGGTCAGGATTAACCAAAAACGATAGAAATGTTTAGAAATCCGGGACTTTTTAATTTCATTTGAATCAAAAGATTATACATGCACACTCACTATTAAATAGTTTCAGAGGGTAGCCATGTTGGCCCGCAGTAGAACAGCTACTTTTGAGACCTGCAAGGTTTCCAAGATATGAGCTCTGGAGAGTCAAAGCTCCCTTCGTCAATCAAATAGACGACAACAGGTTCCAGAATGTGGAGGCCCACCTTCTTCTTCGAGTTAGAATTTCACCCTTAATAACAGCTGAAACTGGCCTGCAGACTGTGTTCCAGAAGGACAAGCATTTAGGCAGAACGCGTTCCCTGCGAGTCATCATTCATTCCAGAGTGAAGTTAATGGCCACAAGCTTTGGCTGTAATCTGTTGGAATGAGTGTGCGGAGATTCAGGTCACTTGAAACCAACCTGAGGACCTGCAAAGCTGGGGTGGGATGTGGATTAAGTCAGAGCCTGGGTTTGCAGCCTCCAGCTGGGGTCCTGAGATCTCCTGGAAATACGACTTCTATCTGGAGTACAGAGATCAGTGGCCGCTTTGGAGGGTGGATTCTACGGCATTATATCTTTCCAAGGTCACTCGGGCTCCCCCCACCACCATACCCAGAAGTTTCCCAACCTGAAGTTGGCAAGCCGAGATAGGGCGTATCTGGGAACCTCAGTTGGAGGACAGCTGAAGTGCATGGAAAAGGATGGGAAAGCACTCAACAGTGTCCATTATCATGGCCCATGCCACGTAAGTGGTTAGAAAGGGCCCGGAAGAAGCAACATAGGCAAATAGGGGCCTAACTACTAAGCAGAAATTAGGAGTGACAGCTGTACTCTCTGGATTGGAGGGGGCAAGCAAGGGCCCAGCATCTTAAAAAGGGGTTGAGCAACATGTCACTGTTGATGCTTGGGACCTGTTAGCCTCCATTTGGTGTAGTGGTTAAGTGCGCGGACTCTAATCTGGGAGAACCGGGTTTGATTCCCCACTCCTCCACTCGCAGCTGCTGGATGACCTTGGGCAAGCCGTGGTTCTGTCAGAGCTGTTTTTGAAAAGAGCAGTTTCCGTCAGAGCTCTCTCAGCCCCACCTATTCTCACAGGGTGTCTGCTGTGGGGAGGGGAAGGGAAAGGAGTTTGTAAGCCGCTCTGAGACTCCGAGTGAAGGGCAGGTTATAAATCCAATCCTTCTTCTACCCGAAGTGTGTAGTACTTTCTCTAACATCTTCTGAACTTGCTCACCAAATGGCTTCACAGCACCGTATCGATGCAGGTTGTAACTTAGTGGATTCCAAATATCTTCAGTGGCTACCTAGGCACTCCCCCCCCCCTTCTTTCAGATGAGTAGTGAAAAATACAGTTAAGCATTTTAGGAGTCATGCCTTTAAAGAATTCTTTGAACATTCTCAACGGTATTTAATATGAAAAATGGGTATGGACTCTGCAAAAAGCAGCAGAGGTCGAGGGATGTTCTGTTCTGTTACTAAGGAAGCCTTTCATTTGCAAAAGTGTGATGAGGCTGCTGTTGTGAACTCGGGGGGGGGGTCGCTGCCCTCTCGTTCTGTAGTCCATTGCGGTTCATTCACTGGATTTCTGAAGCACCTTCCATTCATACCGACTCACTTCTAATTGGAGGGGAAAGGGGAAGCAAGGGATGATGACAGAGCGAGCTCATTTCACAGCCATGGAAAATGTGACCTTATTGGCTTTCAGTCTTTGCATCCTGTAGATTTTAATAGGCCCCTTATCAGAAACAAAAGGTCCCGGTTATTTGAATAGCCAGCAATGGCTTTGTTTTATTTCTCAGCCACCTCATTATTTCCGGCCTCTGCTTTTATGCAGTGAGACTCTGCCATTCTCTACGCCGTACAGATCTAGCAGCCAGAATTTCCGACGCAAGGGCTCAGTCCAGGCACAATGTAAAATCCTGGTATATCTGAGGTGCAGCCAATTGAAGAAGCCAGTATTTGGCTACCAGACAACCATTCAAACCGTTTTTTGCCATGGTGGGTGCTGGTCAGTGTTCCGTCTAAGCTGAGTTAGTGTGAGCTAGCTCAGTTTTTTAGCCTCCGGCTCACCCATTTTTGTCTTAGCTCAGGAAGGATGGCTCCAGAGCAAACTAACATATGCAGTAGCCAAATCGCTCGCTCACAATTTTAATGCCAGGAGCTCAGAAAGTAGAATTTTTGCTCACAAGACTCCACAGCTTAGAGGGAACATTGTTGCTGGTTGCATTGTCTTTGCTCTGCCCAGATGTCACTGTAGCTGGTGAATGTGCAAGGGGCTTGCTATGGAACAAGTAACCATGAAGACTTATCTGCACTTAATAAATGAACTTCAGACCATGGTCTCAGATCCTGGTTTGGTAGACCTTAACTAACCTTAGATAATGAAGTGGTCTATAGTCAGACAGTCCACATAACCAAAGCTGATAAAATGTTAACAACAAGGTGTGTCGACTTGGTGTGTTGTTAATTTCAAGGTGTGTTGGCAGTTTCTCTGCTCTGGGGATCCAGTGGACCAAATGTAACTCACTGACGGTGGATCCACAATGAAGTTAGGCCCAGTGCTGATTGGACAGTTTAGACCGGTTGAGTCTTCACAAAAATAACAGCCAATACAAAGTTCTCCCCTTGGTAATTTTTACACTTGTGCTGAGGATGGTATTTGCAGGAGCAGGTGGTTGAGAGGCAAAGCAGGAAGCCTTTGCCTCCTGGCTAACTTTTGTTTAAAGAATTAATCCAAGCTGTTTGTTCTACCAACTTTAGTGACCTATGTCCCTTTCCCTCAAAAAGCCCCGAGTGCTGATCTTCTAGCCAAAACTTTATGATTTATAGTTTTGCTATTTATCTTTCGACTTGCCAGAATGGGGCTTGGATTTTGCAAGGTTGTGATGCAAAAGCTCCCCAGTTACCGAAAACATTTTCCCAGTTAACTTAAAACTGTGTATAGGCAAAGAAACCCAAAGAGCTATTTTTCAAGGGTTGTGCTTTGCAGGCAGAATTAATGCAGGCGGATGTCCCTCAAACAGCAAACAGCTGACGGTGACATTGGAGCAAAACACTTTGATGTCTCACACATTGTAATTTTACCTTGAAGTCTGCTAAAATAATATTTCCCATTAATATTTTAATCTCCTCCATAAATCTGATATTAGTGGAGCTTCTTTTTTTTAACTTAGATCAGTGAACATGTCTTCAGAAGAAATTTTTATGATTGCAGTTAAGTTAGACGCCACCAAAGCACATAGCGTGCCTTGGTTTTCAGACTGATTTCATGCAATGCTGCATGGCTTGATTTATAAATGTCATTCTGTTTCCCAGGCCTCTCTGGCTTCTTCTTCATCTCTTCTGTCTTTAATATGAAGCCAGTGCCATTCTCACAACTTGCATTCCTTTATATAACCACTTTATATTGGCTCAGAAGAAAAATGTATCTCTTTCAGATTTTGGGTTGGATCCAGCCAGATCTTTCTACTTGTAAAAAGAGGAGGGCCACTTTGTCCCCCCAGAAAAGTTCTGGAGATCATGAGACCTGCATGGATAAAAGCCATATGGGACAATGGCTGTCTTAAGGAGAACTGGACTAGACTGAGCTAAAAAGCTGGCTAGATCCAACCCACTGTTATCAAAGAAATTTTTTTAATATCTCTGCGTTGTACAGTCGATCACTTATCCTCAAAATTGGAGCATAGGGGATCATTTCAGGGAGTTCAGCGGCCTGCAGTGGGAAGAGAGGAGGCAGATAAGTTCTGTTCAGTTGATGTAAGTGCCTTCAGTTGACAGAAACCCATCTTTGGATCAAACCCTAACACATTTATTGCCATAGGTAGGCAGTGACATGGGCTAGAGCCTATCAATGGTGGAACCTTCTATATTTTCCTTCTAGCATGAAGTAGTACATCTGATCCAGGCATTCTTGCATTGGCAGCAAAACTCTCATATCATGCTATAGTATCTGTAATTCTTAGCAGCATTGTAATCCTTTTGGCTTGTGAGCATTCCAGTTATTTCCAGGTTCACCGTGCAGATGTTAAACACTGGTTGGTCTCCCCAGACAATGTCCAGACAGTTCTGGGGATGGGCTGTGGCTCAGTAGAAGAGCCTCTGCTTTGCCCGCAAAAGGTCCCTGGCTCAGTCCTTGACATCCCAAATAAAAGGGGATCTGGCAGTAGGGGATGTGAGAGACCTCTGCCTGAGACCCTGGAGAGCCGCTGCCAGGCTGAGTAGACAATACTGACCTTGATGGACCAAGGGTATAAGGCAGTTTCATGTGTATCCAGTTTCTAACAATGCAACTGAAAGCAGAGTTACACCCTTCTAAGGCCCTGGTTAGAAGACTGTAACCCTCCTTAGAATTGCATTGTAAGTCTGCTGGTTGTAGGGAGATACCTTAGCAGTACAGCTAGCATCCAGTGAAAAGCTCAGTAAACACAGTGGGGCTCAACAGAATCTGTCCCTTAACAGTGGGGAGGTGTTCTTCTTTCCCCCAATGCCGTGGCTTTTCCACTGTGCATTCCAACAGCAAATAGCTGTTTGTACATTTATCACACACGTGATCCATAAGCCTTTTCTTCTGCACAGAATTTACTTCCATTGTAGTGAAACCATCACATGTGAAGAATCCTTAAGACATTGGCAGTCTCTGGCCCTGGCACCAGTTTCATCTTCCAGTGGCCAACACAAGAAGCCTTGTTCATAAGAGGACACGAAATGTTCTTGTGTTCAAACCGCTTTAAACCCTAGTTGTTCAATAACTAGGCGGAGAGGCTGTGGCTCCGTGGTTGAGGATCTGCTTAGCATGTTTTGGTCCCCGGTTCAATCCCCAGCATCTCCAGTTAATAAGGGCCATAAGCAGGTGATGTGGGGGACCTCTGCCTGAGATCCCTGGGGAGCCGCTGCCAGTCTGAGTAGACAATTGTGACTTTGGTGGACCCATGGTCTGGTTCATGGTGGACCCATGGTCTGGTTCAGTGTAAGTCAGCTTCATGTGTTCCACTGTCCCTCCCTTGGTTATTCAAGAACATGCTCAGATTTGGATGTTCATAGCCAGTAGACCGGCAAGATAGACACTAATCATGCATGGTGACCCACCAAGGTCTCCATAGACTTCCTGCTTTTGCCGTCTGCCTGGGCTCATGTCATCATCTGCATGTGTGGGAGCAGAAACAAAAATTACCCTTTATACAAAAGTAGCAAAGCTAGTTGATGACAGTAAAAAGAATTTGATGCTCATAGCTGCTGTGCATTACACTGTTTATATTCTTTTGCTGCTCCTGTTCTTATTTATTTATTTAATATCCGGCCCTCTGCAAGGGTTTCCAGTGCTATTAAAAAGATATTATAGCATTGGAAAAGATGCAGAAAAGGGCAACTAAAATGGTTTAAAGGAATGTAGCACCTTCCCTATGAAGAAAGTTTAAAGAGGTTAGGGCTCTTTACCTTGGAGAAATGACAATTGAGGAGTGACATGACAGAAGTTTACAAAATTATGCATGGGCTAAAGAAGGTAGAGGAAGAAGTATTTTCTCCCTTTCTCACAATACAAGAACTCGTGGGCACTCAATGAAATTAATGTGCTTAGAACAGGTAAAAGGAAGTACTTCTTCAGCCAAAGAGTGATTAACACGTGGCATTCACAGCCACAGGAAGTGGTGGCAGCTACAAGCACAGACAGCTTCAAGAGGGGATTGGATAAACATGGACCAGCGGTCCATCAGTGGCTCTTAGCCACAAGGTGCTCTGTCTGTGGCGGTGGTTCTCTGTATTCTTGGAGGTTGGGGGGGGGGGGTAACAGTGGGAGGTCTTCTGGAGTTCTGGCCCCATTGGAGGACCTCCTGATGGCACCTGGTATTTTTGGCCACTGTGTGACACAGACTGTTGGACTGGATGGACCATGGGCCTGATCCAACATGGCTTCTCCTATGTTCTTAATAAAGGTACTTTCATCGCAGGACAGTGTATGTAGTCCCTGTTGATTTGGTTGCTTTGTGATTTACCTGAGCTTTAAAATCAGGAGGCTGTAGCTTTGCAGCCATGGTCCAGAGGATGGAACCGAACTGAATGTATCTGAGCCTGCAGTAGGGAAGGGCGATGAGCAGGCGCAGCATTTTCCCCCCTCTACTTCTGCAGGTATTTGTTTTGTAAACATGACAAGCTGGCGCAAAAATAACGCTCTGGTAATTTCTTGCATAAACAGCCATCAGTGGCCTATGTACACACTACACCGGGCTTACCTTCGGGCTGGGAAGAAAGGAAAGATGCAAAGGGACGTACTTATTACGTCAATCATAACAATCGAACCACAACTTGGACTCGGCCCATCATGCAGGTATGGCACTTGCTATTCAGAGAAAATGACAGAACCTTTTGAGTCTTCCATTGCACAGTTGTCTGGTGGCTTTCAGAAGCAAAATCCTTCTGGGGGGGGACTGTTCTTTTGGGGAAATTATTTAATTGAAAAGATGCGTATTGACTAATGCAGGGCTGGCTTTAGCTGCTTAGCACACACCCAAGTCAGTTTTACTCTACATCCCGAACCCACGTGGTGACACACATCCACCCTTCATTTTTTTATTTTTAAGGTGTGTCAATGCAACCTTAGGAGCTGCGGTGGCTCAAGTGGTTAAGACGCTGAACTGCAGGCTGTGGAAGGTCGGTAGTTCAGCAGTTCGAGACCCAAGTGCGCCGCATGACAGAGTGAACTCCTGTCTCTAGCCCCAGCTCCTGCTAACCTAGCAGTTCGAAAGCAAGAAATTGCAAGTAGATAAATAGGTACCACTTCGGTGGGAAGGTAACAGCGTTCCGTGCGCCTTGGTGTTTAGTCATGCCGGCCACATGACCACGGAAACGTCTTCGGACAGCGCTGGCTCTTCGGCTTTGAAACGGAGATGAGCACCGCAACCCTAGAGTCGGATTCGACTGGCTTTCGAGCAAGGGAACCTTTACCTTTACCTTTTACAATGCAATCTGGTGATATGCTGAGAGGTAACTAAATGAAGAAGGACACAGTTGGCTGTTTTCGTTTCCCTAACTGAAGTTCCAGTTGGTAGGAAAACATGAACTTTTCAAGGATTCACAAGTGTATCCTTGACTGTCATTAACTGCAGTTGAGAAGCCAGTCCCAGGAATGCTTTTGCACTTCCCACGCTGTGCTCCTTTCCCAATCAATGTGTCCTGCTGGTACCCTAGTTCAGCAGCACCCCGCTGAAGCGTAATCAGTGTTTCCTGTAAAAAAAGGTAAAGGTTCCCTTGCTCGAAAGCCAGTCGAGTCCGACTCTAGGGTTGCGGTGCTCATCTCCGTTTCAAAGCCGAAGAGCCAGCGCTGTCCGAAGACGTTTCCGTGGTCATGTGGCCAGCCTGCAGTTCAGCGTCTTAACAACCAGGATCTAAAACCACATTTTGAAGTAGGTTTCAGAGGGCTCAGTAGAAGAGAATCTGCTTTGCATGCAGAAGGTCCCAGGTTCAGTCCCTGGCATCTCCAACTAAAACGACCAGGCAGTAGGTAGTGTAGAAGATCTGAGTCCCTGGAGAGCCACTGCCAGTTGAGTAGACAGTACTGACCTTGATGGGGCAAGGGCCTGATTCAGTATAGGGGCCGCTTCATGTGTGCTTAGAATAAGTGCCAATGAACAATTAAGCCACAAGTCAGCAGGCAGGAAATGAGTGAAATGAGGGTGCGTGAGCTGACTAGACCCCAGGTAAGAGAGCAGAAGCATGATTATAAGGAGCATGGGGTGGCAGCTCCCTATAGAGGAACGTGGAAGCAAACTGGATTAATCGAGGTAAAGGACATTGGCCTCAGTGAGAGAACGTGTGCTTTGCATACAGGAGTCGCATGGGGTGGCAGCTCCCTATAGAGGAATCTGGAAGCAAACTAAATTAATCGAGGTAAGGGACATTGGCCTCAGTGATAGAACGTGTGCTTTGCATACAGGAGACACCAGGTTAAATGCATGGCATTCCCAGTGGGAAAAAATCTCAGGTCACTGGGACTGGGGAAGACCTTTCCCTGCCTGAGACCCTAGAGCAGGGGTGTCAAACATAAGGCCCGGGGGCCGGAGGTGGCCTGTCCAGGGCTCTTACGTGGCCCACGCGCAACTGATGCCAAGGAGGGAGTGCTGGGGGGAGTGAGTGGAGCCACTCCATTGTGGCTTCAACCCGGTAGAACAACCTCATCTGCAGCAGCAGTCAAGCATCGTGGGAGCATCTGCCCAGCACTGCGCTGCTGCCTCTGCAGTCCACCTATGTGGGTTTTTCTCTGAACCCACCCTCTCAGCCCAGGGTTCCTTTATACAGTTTCTCTCTCTGGTACCTGGCATTACATTTTATGGCACACATGGCCCAGCCCAACAAAGTGACATTTATGTCAGATCTGGCCCTCGTAACAAATGAGTTTGACACCTCTGCCCTAGAGCAATTGCTAAGGGTAGATAGTACTGAAGGATCAGTGGATAGACTTAAGAGGAAGGCAGCTTCATGAAACCTACAATGATTTTTAGGCAATTAGCTGTTAGGGGTACTGTCACGGGGGGGGGGTTTTCTCAAGAGGGTTGACACTGTTCATACAACAGAGGATTGGGTTGACCCAAGAGCCTGTGATTCAGTGTTTATGTGTTGCAAAATCTCTGGGAGGCTATAGCGTATATAAATTGTTAAAAAAAATGCTCATGAGTAATCCCTTCCACCTACTCCCTTGTAGCAGCACCTGGTCTCTTCCACTAGTAGTGGGGAGGGCCTCCTTCTCTGCTAGTACAACAAGGAAGAGTTGGGCTCTACCAGGAAGTGAAGTATAACCAATATTAAATTGACTCCTGCAAAAGTTGGACGTGGGTGCAGTCTTAGGTAGCCAGGAAGCACCCCAAATGCTTCCTGGCTACATAAGAGTATGCCCGCACCCAAACTTCCTGATTTCTAACAAGCTACTGATACTCAGTAGACCCATTATGGAAGAAGAGTGACTCACATGTGTTTTTCTTTTTCTTTTCCTCCTTGATTATGTATAAACTGTCCCTAATTCTCCCTTTGCAAATCTTAGTAAAAGTAGCAATGGATCAGCCATCCTCCTGAATGCTTCACTACCAATCTTTTTTTAAAAAGACAAACATAATGCTAAAACTAACGTTTTTGGATGTATTGCGAACATAGTTAAAAAGCAGGGCTTTTGCTATGTGACACTGACTGTTGTTTCTAGGGAGGAATGTGGTATTGAAAACATTAACTTCTTTTGTAATTCACTGAACTGTACCACTTGGAGATATTTTACCATGACAGAGCACAGCCATAGAAAAGCACATAGCTAATTTGTGTTTGCCTCAAATAGCTTGCCGAAGACGGTGCAACGGGGTCGACGTCAAACAGTAGCAACCACCTAAGTGAGCCTCAGATAAGACGCCCTCGTAGCCTCAGTACTCCCACAGTAACCTTATCTGCACCACTTGAGGTGAGAAATGTTACCCTCCCAACAAGCAAGGCTTGCCTCCTTCCTGGATTTCCATTCCTTTCTTCTTTCTGGTCCTCTGCATCTTTCTATTTTCCTGGCTGGCGTATTGTCCTTTTGCAAGCAGGGCCCGGTTCTCTGTCCAAGACTTGCAAACGAGGGCTCGGTGCACCACAAGGAGGAGTGTGCTGACGCTCCGCAGGCAATTGCCTTGCTCCTAGCCGTCAGCCACGTGGTTGGTGACTAGCATCCCTTCTTGGGTGCCTTCCACTACCAGCTGGGTCCAGGAGGGCTGATAAAATATTTAGGAACCAGCCCTGTTTGCAATCACTCCTTGCTTTGTAAAAATCATGCCCCTCTCGGTAATTATGCTCAGCTATCTTTATTTTGACCCATGACAATGCTTTTGTTGTTCTGTCCAACTGTTACGCTTAAGAGCTTGTAAGAGTGTTATCCTATCCTCTTTCCTATTTCTTATCTTTCACTGTCCACGTGCATTGTAGTAGACGTGTGTGGCCATCATTATTTCAGATCTTGTAATAGCATTGCTTTAGAAATATTCGTAAAGTTGGAGTTGTGTTTCTGTTGGGGTGGTACATGCACTACTGAGGGCGTGGTGAATAGCACATTTCAAATTTGATGGGTTACTATTTTCAATAGAATTTCTTTCACTTTGGAATGCGAAGCTAAAATCAGGACTGTGGGATCTATAATATTCACTGCAAATGTTGTACGTGTGTGTGTGTGTGTCTCTGTGTGTCTGTGAGTGTAAGAGACGTGAACGAAGGAAGCTGAATATTTCAAGCCTAGCTGCGTATAAACTTAGGGATCCTGAATATAAATGGCAAGCTAGGTACCTCCACTGTGAACTGCTTCAGTTTCTGCCCAACCGAACGTTCTGCCTTGTTGAAAATCTTCGCTGTGCGGGGAGAAATTTCCCCACTGAAAAGAGGTCCTCTTAAGAGTATGCAATGAACTCCGCCATTAGAAATGCATATGAGAATGTTCTTTAGATTCGTTCGATGCCCCATAGGGAGCCTCACGGCTATCTAGCTTAGTCCTTTCTTGGAACTCCCCCTTCGGCTGCTCTGCTGTGCTTTCTTCCTACTTCCTTTCACATGTTGTGCATTCATTTCAGAGAAATCATGTGTGTATTGTCTGTATCGTCATATATATCATGAAGCTCTAAAACCCTAGATGCATATGAGAAAAACAAGCGTACCTCCTTATCCACCTGGTGAACATCACTTACATTTGTTCTGTTTAGCAGCTGAAGAAAGTATTCTTCTAGTTGTGATCCTAAGCATGTTTATACAGAGAAATAATTCCCACTGAGTCGCATTGCACTTACTCTCTAGAAATTGTATTTTGGGACCGCAGCTCTTAGATTTTTAGTAAATCAAATCTGTGATGGCTCGGGAGGAGAGAGGGAGAATATTTATTAATTTTTACTAATTAAATGTTTGGACCTGGGGAAAATTAATAATCACCACGAATGAAGCAGAAATGGAAACTGGAAGTAGCAGTTGGTGAAGCAGTGTGAAAATAGAGAGGCAGGACTCCAGATACTGAAACGAAATAATAATTTTAAACCGAACATCATGTTTCAAATCAGTGCAGTCAATTGAAATGGGAAAAATATGCCAGCCAATAGTGTGAAAATCAAATATACCAATCTCAACTATACCAGCAAACTCCTCTACTTAACATTTCAATTACTTGAATTAGTTATTACCTAAATAGCAATGATTAATTCAAATACTTGAAATATTTGAGGAACTTGCTAGTATATTTGACACTGTACTTCAGTCACATTATGAGAAGGCAAGAGTTACTGGAAAAGACAATAATCCTAGGGAAAGTGGAAGGCAGCAGGAAAAGAGGAAGACCCAACATGAGATGGGTTGACTCAATGAAGGATACCATGGGCCTCAGTTTTCAAGACCTGAGCAAGGCTGTTAATCATAGGACATTTTGGAGGTCATTAATTCATATGGTCACTGTAAGTTGGAAGCACCTTGATGGCACTTAACACACACACACACAAATAGCGATCCGTTGGAAAAATCTTTCAAACCATCCCAAAGTGGACACAATCACGTCCATATTTTGTTCCTTTTAAAAATTATATTGTGCTTTTCTCCCCATTGTGTACTCAAAGCATCTTACAACATTGTTTTCCCTCTTCCATTTTATCATCACAGCAATAACTCAATGAGCCAGTATGGTGTAGTGGTTAAGAATACGGAGGGGCAGGAACCGAATTACGAACCTAAGTTCATCACGAACCAGGCCCAGTTTGTGGTTCGCGAACTTCAGTTCCTGCCATCCCGCCCGCACGAGTCCCCATGAACCTGCCACAAACCAGCCAGGGTTTTTTGTGTGGTTTGTGTTGGCAGACGCACGGGCAGCAGGGCTTGGAGAAGGCATTCAATGCCTTTTCCAAGCCACTTGCAAAAATCATTTAAAGGGATACCTTTAAATGGGTTTTGCAAGGCAATACTACGCAGCCCCGGCGGCACAACTTACAAGTGAACTGAGAAGACCTTTAAATGCTGTGTTCCATGCTTATGATGCGTACACTCTCATATGCCCTTTCTTATCATTGCTGATAGGTCTCCTCGTCCTCTGCTTCCTTTTCCAGTCCCTGCTTACATCTCATACTCTTCTCCCCCACTCTTGCTTCTCTAGCATACCTGTCCTCCTGATAACTCTACCAAGTGTTTTTACGGTCTGTGAATGGTACATTGTGTGGATCCTTGGGGATGATGAAGAGGATGATGGAGAGGATTCTGGATTCCAGGGAGGATTCCTGCCATGGATTCCTCTACCTAACCTTGAAGCTACATCCCCCCATTTGGTGTTTCATCTGTTGGTTTCTGAGTTAAAACTGCATTCACCTACTGAAGCTTTGTAGTACTTAAGGAAAGACAACCTGATGCTCCATTGCTTTGAAATCTCTACGCGATGGGTTTCGGGAGGATGGGATTTCATCCAGGGGAAAGGTAGATGGGCCATGATGGGTTCTATTGAGAGTATCACTTCCTGGGCTGTCCAGAAGGTGATGTGTGGCCGACTTGTCCCCTTGAAGGCAAACCTGCTGTGTTTGGGGAGCAGGCTACCCAACTGTATTGAGTCTAGGGACCGCCATGGGCATATACCAGGTGTGCATGTATACACATCTGTGTACATGTGATGTGGGCATTAGCCAAGAACCAACAGCTAATTTCCAAGCAAACTAATGATAAGAGATAATATTTGTTGTTCCATCCTATATCCCCCCTCGAAGATCTGCGTAGATCAGGCTACACGCCGTTATCAATCGCATAATGAGATAAGGTGACGTTTGTCATTGTTAACGCACCCACTCCTTTTCCACAGGGAGCCAAGGACTCTCCTGTGCGAAGAGCTGTGAAGGACACCCTTTCCAACCCACAATCGCCACAGCCTTCACCATACAATTCTCCAAAACCGCAGCACAAACTGACGCAAAGCTTCTTGCCTCCTGGCTGGGAGATGCGAATAGCCCCTAATGGCAGACCTTTCTTCATCGATCACAACACAAAGACGACCACGTGGGTAAGCTGAATTCACCTCCTCTTGCTTTGTAGAATTGTATACCGGAAAGTAGGGGAAGGGGGAAAGTGTCGAAAAACCACGGATTTCAGTTTTCCTGTACTGAGGCACGTTTCTCCACACCCGGGGCTCTCGAATTCTATGATCGTTTTCAAAGATTCCTTTTCAGAGTGCAGCGGCTGGGGGGGGGGGAAGTGTGGGTTGGATGGTGCAAAGGGAGAGAGGCTTTTAACTCTATCCTCCTCTGCCCTTTTCCTATTGTAAAAGCCACAGAAGCATACTCCATTGCTTTGGACCATTGCTGGAGGAAATTTGTAGCTACCCTGGTTTTTTTTCCTCCAGCAAGCATATAAGCAGCGAGGGGTTCCTCCCCCTCCCGCCCGGGAAAATAGCAGGGGAGTAAAATGATAAAGAGCCCCTCTCTAACGTTCTCCATCTTGGAAAAAGCCACCCAAGTGGTTGTACTCAGGAAAGGCCCCCCCCCCAAAAAAAGTCTCCATGAACGATCACAGAAGAAAAAGTAATTTGAACCTAAATCGTCTTTCACTAAAGGGGTGATCCAGAGACTACTTGCATAAAATTGTTAGGTAACTTGCTCAAGTATAATTTAATTCTGTTATACAGCTAGATTCAAGTCCAGTTGTACTTAGAGACCAGCAAGATTTTGGGGTTATGACTGTCAAATGCTCACACCCCTAGTCTTGTTGGCCTTTAAGGTGCGACTGGGCTCGGATCTAGCTGTTCTACTTCAGATCCAACATGGCTGTTCTATTATATAACCTAATGCTCTCTTCTCCAGTCTTTAATGGTTCTTTTATCCGGTTTTCCTAGAGGTTTAAAATATTAGCATCAGATTACAGCAGTTGTTTTCTGTCACTTATTGGCAAACTGTGTCCTGTTTGAACTCTAGTCATAGCATCACACTTGGACCATGGCCACACTGGCAGCTTGGCGCAATACAATGCCACCTCTAATTGAACCGGTTGAAAGTGTTGCGGGGCATATCAGCCACACAGCACACCCTGCTGCGGGTTACCCACGGAGACATCCTGTGGTAAAGCATCCACATTATTGCAGCGCCTCAGCCACAGGGTGCGCTGCCAAAAAAATCTCAAAATTCATGCATGCGCATAAGCGCTCAGGTGTGCACACATGGGCATATAGGCATTTTTAAAAAACAAAAACCCTCCCTAGCGGCAGAACGGATCTGCAGGTTCAGACTGCCAAATCCATTCTGTACACGCTCCCCTGGGTTCAGACATCCGGCCATGTGCAATGACTGCGCGGGGATCCAAAAACACCACTTGTGATGTGGTGCCTTTTTAACCCAGCTCCAAGTCACCCTATGATGGGATAAGTATGGCTGGGGAACATCTAACAGATGTGGCTGTCTTGCTTTCGAACTTGTCCTTTTATCCCATGATTTTTGAGCTTACTTAGGAGCCTTTGATGAGGAACTTTATCGAAAGCTTTCTGGAAGTCAAGATAAACAATATCTATTGGATCCCCCTGGATACCAAGTGCCATCTTAAAGTATGTAGCCTCAGGGATAAAGTACATGTTACCTGTGGCATGAACCAGATCACAGTTCTGGTCAGTCCATGTTGAGCCCCAAAGCAGGGTAAATGCTCCTCTTCATGGACATTTCAGCTTGGGAAAATGGTTCAGGAGGGAAGGCTGAAGCCTCTGCTCCCCCCATATCATGGTCCTGAGCCAAATTGGGCCGTAGCACTCTTGGAAATGTTTGTTCCCTGACATCACATCCATCTGCAAAAAGGACACAGTTAGGCTGAGGGAACTCTGTCTCATAAGAACATAACAACGTAAGAGAAGCCAATGTTGGATCAGGCCAGTGGCCCATCTAGTCCAACACTCTGTCACACAGTGGCCAAAAGTACCAAGTGTCATCAGGAGGTCCTGCAGTGGGAAGGAGGTCCTGCAGTGGGACCAGGACTCCTACAGGAAACATGTAATTTGGCTCTAAACAGAGGAGGAGGAGATTGGATTTATAGCCCACCCTTCGTTTGGAGTCTCAGAACAGCTTACAATCTCCTTTCCCTCCCCCTCCCCACAGCAGACACCCTGTGAGGTAGGTGATGCTGAGAAAGCTCTTTCGAGGACTGCTCTTGAGAGAACAGCTCTGAGAAAACTTGTGACTGACCCAGTTTCACACCAGGAGCTGCATGTGGAGGAGTGGGGAATCAAACCCAGTCCTCCCAGATTAGAGTCCACGCTCTTAACCACTACACTGAACTGGCTCACTCTAGAGCACTGGCTTAGTGCTCTAGGTCAAACACAGCATTTTTAATTTTGCAGGGGAGGCAGGGCAGACACTTTTGTAACATCCTCTTGGTGTTCCACCTCCATGAGGATGTGGGTCCCAGCATTCTTCTAGAATTTTTCCATGTCTGAACGTGGATCAACATTTTCACTCAGTGGACGTGGTGGAACATGATCTCGGCTCCCCCCTGAGGTCCAAAGTCCCAGGTGCAGCAGGTGATCCAGCAGCACCCCAAGGCTGACAGCTTGAGTCCCAGGAATAACCTCCACCTCATCTGTGATGGTGCTGATGTTCCTCCCAGATCACAAGACCTGGACCCAGGCAGACAAAACAATGCCAGGATAGAAGGCTCAGGTGGGGTGTCTGATAGCTTGCAACCATAGCTGAAAAATCAGAAAACATGGAGCAAGAAAAAAGAGGTAACCAAGGAAGGAGACCTTGTAAAAATAAGAGCTAAGTGCTTGAAGCTGATACAGAGTGATGTAGGCAGTCCAAACGTGTGCGTACCTCGGCACATCTCTGCCAGGCAAAATCAGTGTGTTTCAGCATACCCAACTCTGAATCAGCTTTGGCCGTCAGTGATACAACCAAAAATCTAACCAGCAAAAGTGTTCGCTGTTGATGAGGAAAGGTCAATACTGGCCTGATATACCTTAGATAGATATTGGAAATCTCAGGTGGTGGCTGTAAGCTTTGCTTTGAAATTGCTGAAAAGGATACAGGTGAAACCAGGCCAATAACTTCACCATTTGTTGACAGGTTACACTTTTTAAAGGTTGCTTCTCCCATGTTGTTCTTTAATGTAATCTCTTTAGAGATCACGGCCGAGGAAGCTATTCATTCTCATTCTTCCAAATATCCTTGAGTTATTTGGCTTTCCTGGCCTCGTTTATTTCCCCAGATATTTGTGAAGCCGAGAGAAGTGTACATTTGTCATGCCTTGCAGGAACTTTATATAAAATCCGATTTAATGCTATTGCACACAGCTGCGATGAGGCACAGAGATGGAAAGAGATGCATGCTAGGAATGGAGCCGGGCTTGATTCGCCCACATACCATCATTCAAGGCTTTTCAGCCCCCAGGAATTTCATTACATCAGCACTGGTCTGTGTGCCTTATCTTCAGCAGTGAGATGTTGGGATTGATGCAGCTGCACTGTGCCCGGGGAACTGTTGTTGTTTGAGGCTATCCAAACTAGAATATCTCCTCACCAGGGGCGTAGCTAGAACATTTTGGGTGGTGGGGCATTGGGAAATCCGGGGAGTGGGAGGGGGGAGAGAAGAAGACCTCCCCCCGCCTCGCCTCTCTGACTGTCAGGACTTGTGGGGCGTAGCTGTTGGGTGAGGGGGCATGGCCCTGTGTTGCCCCACTGCAGCTATGCCCCTGCTCCTCACTCTGTGTGCCTTATCTTCAGCAGTGAGATGTTGGGATTGGTGCAGCTGCACTGTGCCCGGGGAACTGTTGTTGTTTGAGGCTATCCAAACTAGAACTTGAATATCTCCTCACCAGGGGCGTAGCCAGAACATTTTGGGTGGTGGGGCATTGGGAAATCCGGGGAGTGGGAGGGGGGAGAGAAGAAGACCTCCCCCCGCCTCTCTAACTGTCAGGACTTGTGGGGCGTGGCTGTTGAGTGAGGGGGCATGGCCCTATGTTGCCCCACTGCAGCTACGCCCCTGTTCCTCACTGCGCTGTCTCTGGCTCAGCTCAAACATCACACACATCCATGGGTAGCGTGATGGGTAGTGGTGGAAAGTACCATCAAGTTGCAGCTCACTTATGGCAACCCTGTAGGGTTTTCCAGGCAAGAGACATTCAGAGGTGGTTTTGCCATCGCCTGCCTCTGTGTAGCAACCTTGGACTTCCTTGGTGGTCTCCCATCCAAGTACTAACCGGGGCCTTAGGGCGATTACCTGAATGTAAACCACTCTACTAACAGTGCGGTCCTAAGCAGTCCTATGCACCCTTCTAAGTACATTGAAGTCAATGGGTGCAGAAGGATGTAACTCTGTTTACGATTGCACTGTAAGAATGGTATCTGCTGAGAGATCAGCACAATTCCCCCATTCTGGAGGGGAAAAAATCCCTCTAAAAATAGCTGTGCACCTTTTTCATTATTAAGCTGCAAAAACAGGTGTTGCAGACGAATGCTCCCTCTAAGCTGTGGAGTCTTGTGAGCAAAAATTCTACTTTGTGAGCTACTGGCATTAAAGTTGTGAGTGAGTAAGTTGGCTACTGCACGAATTAGTTTGCTCTGGAGCTATCCTTCCTGTGCTAAGACAAAAATGTGTGAGCCGGAGACTAAAAAACTGTGAGCCAGCTCACACCAACTCAGTTTAGAGGGAACACTGCTTGCAGACATTTTGCCACAAAGTTCAACTGCTCCCTGAAACTGGAGAATGGGGGTAGTGACGTGGCATTGATGATGACAGCCCCTTGGCATTGATGTAAATATGGCGTGGGCTTGTGCCGCTTTGGGAGTCCTCTTCTTACGGCAGTGTGTTTTTCATTACAGGAAGATCCACGACTAAAGTTCCCAGTCCACCTGAGATCAAAAGCAGCTTTAAATCCCAACGACCTGGGCCCTCTTCCTGTAAGAATTCACGTTTCTGTGTTTGTACATATGCAAACTATATGCTTGCTTCATGCATGGGAGCTGATTGAAAGATGTTTGCTTCGTAGAGATAAAAGGCCTCATGGTGAACGGGGATGATCATTTCCTCGAGCCCCTAGCCACCCATCTGAAGTGGTCCCCTACTCCACAGCTCGGCCATGAAGCCTTTCCCCCCGCCCTATTAACTGTGGTCCACAAGATACAACACAGCTGAAGGTTAAACCACAGGAAACACTTCAGTTCTGGCTCTGGATTTTGGACACTAGCAGATAGTTGCTATCAAAACAGAACCAAGCAACAGGGTTTAATCAGAGCAGAGAAGGGACAGCCACACGTCAACAGGGAATGTGGCTAATTTTGTAATGTATTATCAGCCTGCAGATTGTGCGTGTGCCTGTGGATGTTGTTTTGTGCTTGTTTCATAGGCCTTCACAAATCCATCTTAATAGTCGAGCTCCCTTTTGCAGTACAAGTGGATTGCCTGCTTTGTGGGCTCATTTACATATGTAAACGACAGCTTTGCATTTCGGTGCAGAAAGTAAATCCCCTCTGAGAGGCAGGCAGACTAGAAAGGTTGTACTTACGGAGCCCAGAGGCCCTGTTGCTTTGCATTCTCATCAGGATAAACAACAAGAGCCCGTCTGGTTGCTGCAGACAGTAAGTTCTGAAGCTGCTCTCACACATCATCCTTACCTTACGGAAAAACGGAGGAACGTTTCCGTGCAGTCAGCCATTGGTATGCAACTGCGGTTTAGGGGCTCTACACGAACCCATGAGAGAATGTTCACGTCAGGAGAAGACAAGGCTCACTGGAAAGGAGAGTGATGATGTTAAGAAGATTTGAAGACGGCAGTGTGAGATGGAGTGATTCAAGGAAGCAATGACCTTCAGTTTGCAAGACCTGAGCGAGGCTGCTAACAGTAGGGCATTTTGGAGGTCATTAGTTCACAGGGTTGTCGTAAGTCAGAAATGACTTGATGCTGAGAGCCAGTTTGGTGTCGTGGTTAATTGTGTGGACTCTAATCTGGGAGAACTGGGTTTGATTCCCCACTCCTCCACTTGCACCTGCTGATGTGACCTTGGGTCAGTCACAAGCTCTGGCACAGCTGTCCTTGAAAAAGAGCCGTTTCTGTCAGAGCTCTCTCAGCCCCACCTACTCACAGGGTGTCTGTTGTGGGGAGGGGAAGGGAAAGGAGTTTGTAAGCCTCTCTGAGACACCTTTGGGTAGTGAAGGGCGGGGTATAAATCCAATCTCCTCTTCTTCTTCTTCAAATAACACCAACACACACACACACACAAGAACTCCTAACTTTCTCCTAACTATGAGTCAGATCATAGGCTCTCCTGACCCCCTGAGAACCATTAACTGAGCAGCATCTGCTCTCCAACCTCTCAAGACGAGTTGCAAGCTCTGGCAGTGCTCTACTAGGAGCTTGGAACTGTAATTTCCTTCTTGCAAATCAGATGCTGTATCTCTCTCCTTAGTACTACCTATGTGGTGGCTTCTTCTTGTGGGACCCTTTGTCTCCCCCCCCCCACACACACACATAGAATCCATGCAGCTCACCAACACCCAAAGCAGCTGTTCTGTTAGTTAGGCCCTTGCGTTTCTTTTAACAAGTGGGCCTCACTTTTCTTTCTGAAAGCCTCGAGTAGTCTAACCTTTCATTGGTCATACTGATTTTTCACTGACAGAGAATTCATAATGAAGAGAAACTTTTAAAATGCAATTCCCCAAACCTGCAGTTGGAAGTGGCATGCTAGAGCCTCCAGGGTTTCCAACTGGCAGCCCCAGGTACCCACCCACCACTTTTTTTATTTCAAAGACAACGTTGCCTGCATTGCTATGCCACTTCCTAGGGAATCCCAGGTGTGACATTGGGTAGCTCTAGGAATCCCCGGAAGCTCTATGGTTTTACCATACACTTTCTGGCAATTCCTAGGGCTTCTCTATGACACTTCCGGATCTCCACAGAAGTGACATAGCAGCACCGCGAATGTCACCTCCCATGTCCTTACACCCCAAGCCTTTCCCCAGTTGCCAGGCACGGCTGGGCAACCCGATCTACCACCTCTGTGATTGTCCGCTGAAGCCCTGCAATCCCCAGAAGACTGCGATAGTGCAGCTTCTGCAAATGGCTGCCTGGCCATTTCTCTACCACCACTCTTCCAGGGGAGGGGAGAGGACAGGGGGCTGAAAGTGGAAGGTTACCTGCCAAAGCAGGCGACCTGGCATTTCTCGCCACCTCACTGGGCTGCATGTGTAGACTAGG